TGTATTCTGAATATATCCACATCACCATCAGACCATTTTATTGGTAAACTACATGGTAATGTAAAAATTGTATTTTTTAGTGATCCAATACGTAATATAGTATATTTATCATAATTTGGTTGTAATCCAGAGAGGTTAGAAAATGTATCTAGATCCTCTATGAGGCTGTGGAGGGATTCAAGTTGTGAATTTAAAAGAAAACATGAATCATCAGTATACAATGACACCTTTGTTTTTAAGCCCTGGATTTCTAATCCCCTGATATTATTGTTGGATCTGATTTTAATAGCTAATATTTCGATGGCCATAATAAATAGATATGCCGATAGTGGAAAACCTTGTTTTACTCCTCTTGACAGTTTAAAACTTTCAGATAAATAGCCAGTATTTACTATTTTTCACCTAGGGTTACTATACATGATTTTAACCCATTTTATAAGAGATTCTCCAAAATTGAAACGCTCCAGGCATTTATATATACAGTGGGGAAAAAAAGTATTTAGTCAGCCACCAATTGTGCAAGTTCTCCCACTTAAAAAGATGAGAGAGGCCTGGTCCCAGCTCTCTGCAGGTCATTCACTAGGTCCCCCCGTGTGGTTCTGGGATTTTTGCTCACCGTTCTTGTGATCATTTTGACCCCACGGGGTGAGATCTTGCGTGGAGCCCCAGATCGAGGGAGATTATCAGTGGTCTTGTATGTCTTCCATTTCCTAATAATTGCTCCCACAGTTGATTTCTTCAAACCAAGCTGCTTACCTATTGCAGATTCACTCTTCCCAGCCTGGTGCAGGTCTACAATTTTGTTTCTGGTGTCCTGTGACAGCTCTTTGGTCTTGGCCATAGTGGAGTTTGGAGTGTGACTGTTTGAGGTTGTGGACAGGTGTCTTTTATACTGATAACAAGTTCAAACAGGTGCCATTAATACAGGTAACGAGTGGAGGACAGAGGAGCCTCTTAAAGTAGAAGTTACAGGTCTGTGAGAGCCAGAAATCTTGCTTGTTTGTAGGTGACCAAATACTTATTTTCCACCATAATTTGCAAATAAATTCATTAAAAATCCTACAATGTGATTTTCTGGAGAAAAACATTCTCAATTTGTCTGTCATAGTTGACGTGTACCTATGATGAAAATTACAGGCCTCTCTCATCTTTTTAAGTGGGAGAACTTGCACAATTGGTGGCTGACTAAATACTTTTTTCCCCCACTGTATATGTGTATATTCTTAAATTCCATTCCTTACTTAGATTTGTGTGTATTGGGTATATGTTGTGAAATCGTTAGATATTACTTGTTAGATATTGCTGCACTGTCGGAGCTAGAAGCACAAGCATTTCACTACACCCGCAATAACATCTGCTAAAATTTGATTTGATTTGATTTGATTAATGACATCTGCTGGTCAGCAATAAATAGCAGCAGGTGATTATCAGGTATACTTTTTATTTTCTCCACTGTTTTCAGCAAAACTCCTAAACTAATACAGTGGCCTGAAAGTGATTTGCGCAGTGGTAAGTCGTTGCCGTTAGTAGCCTATAATCAGTTGGAATTCCAGGTCTGCATCTTACATCATGCTTCCCTATTTTCAAAAACGGAATCTAAGGCTTTATTTAGGACGCTTAAGACAGAAGCTTATACTATATTAAACAAAACAAATTATTTGAACAATAGTGCAGAAAGTGTGATTTCACATAAATAAAACTATTTTCTAAATAGTGTGCCTTCAACAGGATTCAACCTCATACCCTCACATCCCTGAATGTTCCATAGTTCCCTACTGTACTTGCTAAGCTACCGATCAGGTGAACATTTTGGTACAAAATCGTAACTATATTTGTAAGTACAGGGTCCAGAAGAGGTCGGTATTTGAAAGCAGCTTGGAATCGAGGAAAGCACCGGAAGCACTGGGAAATCAGTGGGATCTCGCATTTTGCAACACACGGTTTGAAAAAGCAAACGAAGCTTTGAAGTACTTCTGATAAAGTGATACAAGCATCGGCACACCGCTTCGAAGGTTTTAAACATAACATCACTACTTTCAGTACCACCCATGACTGTGTTTGCTAGTGACAGAGACGTGGTTGTTACATTAATTCATTTTCAGTTCTGTGTCCTAGTGAGTTTCTAAGTGAATATGTTGTCATTATTTAAGACAATACATTACATATTTCATAAGGTCTTCTTTTGAGACCCTAGTTTTACCCTAATACAGTGGCCTGAAACTCACATTATGCTGGCTTGTAAAGTGATGTGTAATTCCTATTGAAATCCAGCCAGAGTGGGGATATCCAACAATTTGAATATTTTAGTCACCCACAACCTGCGTTCAGAATGACTGACAGTGCTAGGGTTGGGAAGACTAAGATATGAGACTACCTTAAACATCTAAACTGGAACAACAATTTCAGTAACTGGTGAAATAAGTCCAAGTAACACATTGGAATAGTTTAGAAAAATGTATATTATTTGTATTTGATTAATTAATCAATGCAAATACACAAAAATATTGAAACAATTTTTTTTTTTTTTTTAATCAACCTTCAATAGAGCATGCTGGGAAATATGATAATGATAGGCGTGGTTAGAGTTCAACTCTGGTTATTAACACCAACACTGGGGTTAATTTACACCACTGAGTGTTAATTTAACTCCCTACAGTGTTAATTTAACTTTTGGATCAACACTAGAAATGTTACACTGAAAAATCACTGGCCAATTTGCTGTGTGCTATGAAAGAGACACATCTGCAGATTTCCATACATTTCAAAGACCTTTTAGAATTCTGAAGAACTGTAGATGCCATGTCAAAACCCCACACTTAACTCAAAGGTTATTCATCGGGCAAGAGTTCTCCAAGGAACCTTAAGAGCTGAGGAAGAACCATTTAAGAACCTTTATTTTTTTAATTGTAGATTAAACTAGAGCACAACCAGTCAAACTAGTTTCTATAGACCTGACAGGTAAGGTGTCTATAGGATCCTACAGGTGAAACAGCAAATATATGTCCAGTTAGACAAGCTCACCTCAATATGTGCAACACTAGCATTGAGACAATTGAAAGGTAGACGACTTTCGAACCGGTTATCTGAACGGTTCACTGAGAACAAAGACCAAAAAGTGTTGACTGTCATGATGTTGACATTTTTTACATGGGGGTGATGCAGGGGCTGAAAATTAGCCATGGAAGAAACCTATGAACCGTGGACCAGTCTCAGGACATCAACCAGGTAAACTGAGTGTGGCGGTCAAGCGTAAGGCCAGAGCAGACTTTAGCGTTTGAGACGTTTTGGCAAAATGTCAAACAGCCTTGGTATACTGCAGTAAATGATTCCAATAAAATGATGGATCTTTCCTAAAGATAAAGCTTAAGTTATGATTACTACTCCTTTCAACCATTTGGCCCCTCCCTCTCTCCTCCCTCCTCTCTCTGACATCTATCCTCCTCTTGACCTCCTCCCCTCCTCTTGACCTCTTCTCCATATATAAAGATTCCCACCTGTGAATCCCCCTTCTCTTTCTTAAATCAGCTTGATGTTGCATGTTCACATAGTGCCTGACTGTCAATTAGGAGTAAAGGACAAACTGTTTTCTTCCATAAAAGGTAAGTGGGTCGTTCCACCAATTCGGTGCCTTCTGAGAAGTGTAACTAATTTTTTTTTAAAGTGATTTTACAAAATCTTTATATTCTGTCATAAAAAATATTTTTCCCATCTCAAGAATGGAAAATACTATACGAAGTGCCAAATAAAGTAACAGGGTTGACGAATTCATCTTAAATCAGCCTTGTGACAGGCAAAATGGAAGCTTGTTGTGTGCAATAGGGAGTGGCAATTGAATGCAAGCTTCACAATAAAAGTGTAATTGTTAAAACATTTCTAGCCTGTCTACCTATGGGTAATAGTGTTGGCGTGTTGAGCTTGACCCGCTTAGTTTTCCACCACAAAACACCAGAAAATTGCCAAAAAGAGTAGAACCAGCTCACCTGCTTTTACACTATGATTTGACTATTAGATGTTAAATGTTTCTTTTGAAAAAAAAATGTTTTGAAGGAATAGTTTTACCATATTGAATTGAGAGTTCAGTTCACGCAACAGGGTAGACCTTAAAATGAGGGACAGACATAAATAAATAATAATTTTCAGAAATGACTTCGTCAAAGCACCAAAATTACTAGGGCTTTACAATCATTTACATTTTAGTCATTTAGCAGGCGCTCTTATCCAGAGCAACTTACAGTTAGTGAGTGCATACATTTTTCATACTGGCCCCCCGTGTGAATCGAACCCACAACCCTGACGTTACAAGTGCCATGCTCTACCAACTGAGCTATAGGAGGCAATCATAGTGAAAACTTTGAGAAATGTTGGGGTTAAGTGGGTAACAATCTTCCTAGAAGTCACATAGGGTGCACGGAGGGACATGTCAAAATACAGAATTCTGGCACTTTAGCAAGTCTTTATTCATATAAAAAATCTGAGAGAAGGAGAGAAAGACCTTTCTAGGACTGTGTCCCAAATGGCACCCTTTTCCCCTTTTCTAGAGCACCACTTTGACCAGGGGCCATAGGGCTCTTGTCAGGAGTCTTGTACTATTCAGGCTATGGGGTGACATTTGGGACACAATCTTGGATATGTGAGCAGTTGTTTTCTCGAAGTGCATCAGTTTCGTGTGTTGCTCAGTTGGTAGTACATGGCGCTTGCAACGTCAGGGTTGTTGTGGGTTTGATTCTCATGGGGGGAATTCAGTACGAAAATGTACGCATTGACTACTTTAATTCGCTCTGGATAAGAGCGTCTGCTAAAATGAATAAATATGTCAAGGGCACTTCATTTAATATAACAGGCTCTTAAAATGGTGCACAATTTCTACTTGAAATATCGAAGGGACGCAAAAGGAACGACAAGTGTTCACCTTTTACATTTTACAGAACTGTTTAGAATAGAATAGAATAGAACATAATAGAATAGAGAAAAACTACGCTATTGCCTGTATTAATAGGGAAATGGAGACCTCTGGTTTCTGGTTCAGCTCTGGTCTGTGGGATGGTGCTGACCTGAACGATCTGTCAGTTAGTTTGCTGACAGCTCACACATTCTAGATTTGATTTTAGTCCCTAGTACATAAGGAGAAGGATGTATTTCTTTATGAGTTAAGTCTGATGGTAGAACATCTCTCTGTTTCTGACACTCGATTTCTCTCACACACATGCACCTCTCTCTCCTCCCAGCCGTTTGAAATAGACTCACCATATGAGAGGATGGCCCCGCCCTTGGCAAGATCTGCTCCAGGTGAGCTCAGCCATTGGTGGAGCCAGCTTAGGTTCCGCCTCCAGAACAGGAAGGGGTGGAAAGAGATGCTGGATGAAACTTTTTTGTTGCAGAACAAAAGGTGAGTTTCCTATTGGTAAAAAAGAACAGCTACTGTCAAGTATTGGTTGATATTATGCTGCATTCATAACAAGTACATTATGTTTTGTTGTTGCATTTAACTGCCGAAAATGTTGTTATCGAGGTCATTTGTTAAGTATCCCATTGGTCAAAAACGGGTTGAATCAACGTTGTTTCCTCGTCATTTCAACCCAAAAAATATATGTGAAAACGTATTGTATTTGGAAAAAGTCATCAACATCAGGGCATGTTGTCTTTTTTTCTCCTAACTTTTAACCTAAACCAAATGACATAGAGAAATGTTCTGTTGATTTCACGTTGAATTCACAATAGTTGACAACTCAACCAAATGTAAATCAAAATAAGACGTTGAACTGATCTCTGTGCCCAGTGGGATGTGACATCAGAGCTCAGCATGTGGGAGAAGTCTGAGCTCAAAGATGATACACAGTTTCCCACTAGTAATTACCAGCTGGAGGGGCGTTCAAGTGGATTTGCTGATATTTACGAGATGTTCTGAACGCAGCATTAGATTTCTAACTTGCAAACACACTCTCTCTCCCATAGAACAAACGACGTCCCTCTCTTCTTTGCCGCCAAAGAGAACAGTGCAGGTTGCATTAAGAAACTTCTGGACTGTGCGTCCACTAATATCTTTGAGAGAGATGCTCTGGGGGAGACCGCGCTGCATGTGGCAGTTATGAATGATAACATGGAAGCTGCTGTAGCTCTGATGGACGGAGCACCTGAACTCATCAATGAGCCCATGACCTCTGACCTCTTCCTTGGTACACACTCTCACACACAATGAACAAACACACACTATAACATCATAAAACTCACATAGATATTCAATCACGCAATCATACATTCTCTCTCTCTTACTCGCTCTCAATCAGGCATGACACCTCTCCACGTTGCCGTGGTGAATCAGAACGTTAACCTGGTCCGCAGTCTGATTGGTCGAGGGGCGGATGTGGCCACGCCCAGAGTCACAGGCCTGTACTTCAGGAAGAGAAGAGGCGGGCTGCTCTACTATGGTAAAATGACTATTTGTGGTCTGTAAGGAGAAAATAAATGCATTTTGGGAAATGTGGTTGTTTGATGCCGTTTGCTTTACTTTAGGTGAGCACATCCTGGCATTTGCGGCCTGTGTGGGGAATCAGGACATCATCTCCATGGTGATCAACGCAGGAGCCAGCACCAGGGCCCAGGACTCCAATGGTATGAAACACTTCTCTTTCTTCTCCTCGTCCTCCTCCTCTTCTCTCTTCTCCTTTTTTCAGCAGTTGAATATCTCCCTCTCTCCCCCCTAGGTAACACAGTGCTCCACATCCTGGTCCTGCAGCCCAATAAGACTATAGCATGCATGACATTGGATCTGCTGTTGGCACGCGACGTTGAGCTGGACCAGGCTGTGCCACTGGACATGGTGACCAACTACCGTGGCTTAACGCCCTTCAAACTGGCTGCCAAGGAGGGCAACCTTGTGGTGAGGAAGGATAGGGGGATATAAAGAGAGGGACAGTGGGGAACATGGGAGCAGTAAAACTATATATAAATACTGTCTCTCTCAGGCATTCCAGCACCTGGTCAATCGGAGGCGAGTCGTCCAATGGAACCTTGGACCGCTGTCCTCTAACCTCTATGTCCTCACAGAGATCGACTCCTGGGCCGACAACCTCTCTGTGCTGGAGCTCATCGTGGGCAGCCAGAAGAGAGAGGTACAGTACAGTACAGTACACAAACATGATACAGTGTAATATACACTATAGGGAAACTGATGATGATGATGATCTCCTCCCTCAGGCAAGGAGGATCCTGGAAGTGACTCCTGTTAGGCAGTTGGTCAGTCTCAAGTGGAACCTCTATGGAAAACACTACTTTAGGTAACAACACATACAGTGATCATGTTCTGATGTGTTTGAGATTCTGTCATTTGTTTATTTCTAATGTTGTTTTAACGTTGTTATTGTGTTGTGTACAGGTTGTTGCTGCTGCTGTACGTCCTGTACATTGGGATCTTCACTCTGTGTTGTGTGTGTCGTCCTCTAAAGGACGCTCCAGAGAATTACACTGTATCTGACATGGACAAAACCATCCGCGTGCAGAAAACTCTGAAGGTGGGGGAGACATGAAGGCCCCTTCATATGACAGCCTGTGTGCAAATCCACAATCAAAGGTGTTCATATTAACCCTTTGTGATCCACGTGCCTTGTTCTCTGTCCCTGTAGGAGAGTTATGTGACCTATGGGGACAACTTGCGTCTGGCAGGAGAGATGATCAGTGTCCTGGGTGCCCTGGTTATTCTGCTACTGGAGGTAAAATATACATCACCCAATAGTTTTAAATTTCACTTATATTTACACTGTAGATTAGATCAGATTATTGGCTGTCAATATAATCTGTGTTATTCCCAATCCCTAAAATCCCAGATATGCTGAGAGTGGGGGCCAAGCATTACTTTGGACAGACGGCCCTGGGGGGACCCTTCCATGTCATTTTTTACGTCAACCTTGGTGCCTTTGTATCATTTATTACCTGCCTAGTGATGTTATTATTATGTCATGTCTATGTAGCATTTATAACCTGTGTAATAACCTGTGTGTTTCCTCCCCAGTATTGCCTATGCGATCCTGGTGGTGCTGCTGTGTGTGTTCAGGGTCAGTGGGGTGCAGGGGGAGGCAGTTGTCATGGCTGTGTGTCTGGTGTTGGGCTGGAGTAACGTCATGTTCTTCGCCCGAGGCTTTCAGATGCTGGGGCCTTATGTCATCATGATACAGAAGGTATGTAAGGGCAGCAGACACACACACACACACACACACAAGCATTTGCATGACGTTACTGTAGAATGTACTGTTTTGCTGTTTTGATTCCCATATTAAACTGTTGTGGCGTTTTGTCTAATTTCCTCCTAGATTATATTTGGAGACCTACCAAGTTCATGTGGCTGAGCTTCATCATGCTCATGGGGTTTTCCACCTGTAAGTACATTCTGTTTAAGAGAAACTCAAAAACCATATTAATAGTACAAATATATTAAAGCAAATAGAATTCCTATTTTTATTTGCCAGTTATTCTCTTTCCCTCTCTCTCAGCCCTGTGGATGGTGTACATGACTCAGGACCCAGACTCTCTGCCTGCGTACCACTCCTTCCCCATCACTCTGTTCTCTCTGTTTGAGCTGAGTGTGGGTCTGATAGACCTGCCAGTGGACAACCCCATCATAACACCCCCTATTGTCCATGTGCTGCACTGCACCTTCTCTGTGGTCGCCCACTTACTGCTGCTCAACCTGCTCACAGCCATGATGAGTGATACACAATGGAGAGTAGCCCAGGAGAGGGACGAGCTCTGGAGGACACAGGTGTGCCACACACACACATTTTGACACACACACATGCACACACACACTCAGGAACACACACACATAGTCTCTCCTACATACGCCATACAAATAGCTTAAAACCATGATTAGAGTGTATACAGCATTCCAATCAGTGCCATGTTAATGATCGTTATGTCCTCTGTCCCTGCTCACTGTGTGTAGGTGGTGGCCACTACCCTGATGTTGGAGAGGAGGTTGCCCCGCTGCCTGTGGCCCCGGCTGGGGGTATGTGGCCTGCTCTACGGCCTGGGGGAGCGGTGGTACCTCCGGTAAGACAACAACACTCCTATTACTGTACTCTCTGTTTTAGGTGTGGTGGTGTTAACAGTGTTTCCCCATCCCCATCATATACAGGCTTTATATTATAATGACTCTCATACTCTGTCTCCGTTGCAGGGTTGAGGATCGCAAAGACCCACTGGTGCAAAAGATGCGTCGCTACATCCAAGCCTTCTCTACGGATGAGGACCAGAGCAAGGAGCGGGAGGAGGCGGAGAAAGGACCTGGAAACAGGAAGTCTCTGGCATTCTGGCAGATGATTCGCCACAGCGCTCTGGGTTTAGACATGGAACAGGAAGAGCCTGAGGATGACCTGGAAGTAAGATAGGGCTGAGGTTTAAGACAGCAAAACAGTTCATTATATTGTTATTATATAATATATGTGTGATGCAATCATGAATGCAGAGGCGTCATGCCCATAGGGGGCACAAGGGCAGGTGCCCCCGCCCTCATATACTCCCTAGTAAGTGGTTCCTTCCTAGGTGCACCACTGAGCAAAGATATGTGTGAAGACAGTATCATGAGTGGAGGAGGAGAGAGAATGTCGAGTGACACATAGCATTTCATTTGATTTTAGCTGCCGGTGATGGGCGGGACTGTTTGTAAATTAATTTGATCAAGCTATGTTGATTCCTTCTTGATGAATAAATAAAACGAGCAATAAAGAAGTGCACCTTCAGAGGAGATGCTGATGACACTGACGAAGGCCGAAACGTTTGTCTATCTACCGACCCGTGAATTTAAAAAATACTAAAATTAAACCTTGAATGTCTTTTTTGAGTGCGGACCAGCTAAACAATAAGGAATTCTATTACATTATGCTACCCGCACCAGTTCTGAGTGCAGTGGCTGTTGCGGTGACCGTATTACTGCCACACCTGTGGTCACGAGTCATGAAAGCAGTCAAATTCCACGTGACCGTTTAGTCACAGTAATTAGGCTTCTCCGAGCTCTGGTGCTGCTGATAGTCATTAGTAGCCTACCAAACTTGCTAACTGCCTGGTACTCAGCACTCTATTGTCCCTCTAATCACTCTGACATCAATGCAAATATAATCTAAAATCTAATCAAACACTTAATGAGAGCCCATGATCTCATGTGGCGCAACATTTCTATAGGTTATGCAATTGTGCAAGAAAACAGAGTGATGGCCTCTATTAAAAAGAGGAGGATCCCATCAGCTTTCTATTGGCTAGGCCTACTATATTTATTTCACAACTTTCCTAATATTAAGCACATTGCTTAATATTGCATTATCTTTACAACAGGAGTATAGCCTACCTGGCTGGCATGAAAATGAACCACGGGAAAAGCGTCCTCCATTCGTGCATAGATTACATGTATTTTTTCCGTTGCCCTGTTTCGAGACAGGTGCATGATAATGGTCCATTCTAAATCAAAACAAATTTCACATATGATAGGCTAATTATTTAGTATATGTAAACACAAGATTATAATCAAGAATAGTCTGATGGGTGACAATATTAGCCTATCACTTAAGTCCCCATTATATATATTATCACTTGTGAATGATGCCCAGCATAAGGCAAGAAACAAAGCCTTTTTTTTGCAACTTTTTCAAATCATAGTCGCACACCTCATGTAGCCTAGCCCATAGGCCTATATGTTTTGATAAGGTTTGTATCACAACTAAATAATAAAAGCATTACATGCATAATCGCATTTGCGGTCACTTTTGATAATGGTGTTTTCACACTAATGGAACATTTGTGCTTATAGCCTACTGCCATGTGCGCATTGCTGCACTTATAATGTGAAGAAATAGCCTAATAGTTTATCAACATTTAAAGCTAAACGTTCTGATCTGTTGCGTCAGCCACAATTGTCAAATTGTGAATGAGAGACTGATAAAGTGAGTACAGCCTGCGCCTGCGCCAAAAAAACATTTAAATGTCTTGGAATGGCCCAGTCAAAGCCCAGACCTCAATCCAATTGAGAATCTGTGATATGACTTAAAGATTGCTGTACACCAGCGGAACCCATCCAACTTGAATGAGCTGGAGCAGTTTTGCCTTGAAGAATGGGCAAAAATCCCAGTGGCTAGATGTGCCAAGCTTATAGAGACATACCCAAGAGACTTGCAGCTGTAATTGCTGCAAAAGGTGGCTCTACAAAGTATTGACTTTGGGGGGGTGAATAGTTATGCACGCTCAAGTTTTCTGTTTGTTTTTGTCTTATTTCTTGTTTGTTTCACAAATGTTTTTATTTTGCATCTTCAAAGTGGTAGGCATGTTGTGCAAATCAAATGATACAAACCCCAAAAAAATCCATTTTTAATTCCAGGTTGTAAGGCAACAAAATAGGAAAAATGCCAACGAGGTGAATACTTTCGCAAGCCACTATACACCAGCGGAACCCATCCAATTTGAAAGAGCTGGAGCAGTTTTGCATTGAAGAATGGGCAATAATCCCAGTGGCTAGATGTGCCAAGCTTATAGAGACAAACCCCAAGAGACTTGCAAAATGTAGATATTCCAAAGGTCTGCATCAGTGGCTTGTAGGCAATGTGTGGAAGCCAGGAGATGCTAAATGTGTTTATGTTAATTAACGTCAATTTCAGGCTATCAATTAAGTTAGAATGGCTTGTCTAACTAGCTTAGCTGGCATGCCAACTGGCAAGGTTGCTAGACTTTAGAAAATAAAAACATTGCTTTAATTCTTGTGTTATGATACTATATACACCAAAAAAGAATATTGACACCCCTTCAAATTAGTGGATTTGGCTATATCAGCCACACCCGTTGCTGACAGGTTTATAAAATCGAGCACACAGCCATGCAATCTCCATAGACACAAATTGGCAGTAGAATGGCCTGTTCTGAAGAGCTCAGTGACTTTGAACGTGGCACCGTCATAGGATTCCACCTTTCCAACAAGTCAGTTCATAATTTCTGTCCTGCTAGAGCTGCCCTGGTCAACTGTAAGTGGTGTTATTGTGAAGTGGAAACGTGGTAGGCCACACAAGCTCACAGAATGCCCCCGTGCACAAAGCGAGGTTCATACAGAAATGGTTTGTCGTATAGTATAGTAATGCCCCTGATTTTGGAATGAGATGTTCGACGAGCAGGTGTCCACATACTTTTGGTAATATAGTGTTCCAGTGTAGCAGTTGTACTAAACTCCCAAGGCATAAAAGTTCTTAAAGAATCAATGTGCATCATTAATTAAAATAACAATTGAACAGGTAAAGGAGGGGGGCTGACCATCCACCCTGCATCCTCACGTACTTCTTACCCCCTCTAAAATAATGGGTGCATGACACCCCTGCATGAGTGTATGCAGTAATATATGTCGAAAACAAAATATTTTATTGTAGTAGCTATTGTATATAGGTAAGACTGGGTTGAAATGTAGACTAGATTCATTTTCAATTTTCTTGGATCATGTATGTTACTTTATCAGTCCAAGTAAAGCACACAAACACTTTTTATTAAAGATTTGACTAGACAGTATATTAACTGATTCTTTATTACAGGGACAAATTATATAAAACGTTTTTTCCTTTCAGGATTGTAAATCAGAACATAAAACCTAATGATTGGTTAATGCACATAATAATGTAGATCATTATTACATTCAAAGTCATAAAAAAAACATATAGAAACATCTCACCAAAACAAGCAAATAAGTGCAATATATAGTGTTAATCTTTAACATTAGTGCAAATTCTAACTGAAACTGCCAGGCTGACTTGATTCTTCTTCTTACGGCATAACTAACTGTAATGTGATTACATTTACCATCATTGGTCATACCTGGATGTCTAATTAATTAATTATAACATAGATGTATGTCATAAAGTGTATAATCAAGGTGTAAAAGGCTATTGATAGAGATGTGTAATCATGGTATAAAAGGCTATGGAATAGGAGTGAATGATAGATGGAAGTCTAAAGAGAAGCCGTATTGCCAGTTTCTTAGTTGGCATATGGCAGTAGCCACCAACCCTGCTGAGCTACATGGTGTACAACACTTAAATGATTCAGCTAATCAAGGTGATTCATTGACTAGGTAAATCATGTGTCTTACTGGTGGGCTGGAACAAAAGCCTGTACATCATATAGCGCTCCAGGACCAGGGTTGGTGACTGCTGGCAGATGGTGTAGTCTGTCCTTTAGCGCCCCCTCTGGCAGATGTAGAAGCTGTACTGGTCACATGATGACGAGCTCCAGCTTCTCTCAGGAGGATCCCTTCCTGTCAGTAACCCACAATCCCCTTGTCTGTTGGATCCTGACCAGTAACTACCAATGAGAGGAAAGGGAACAGCTCAGTACTGTCCATACTAAAACATTACATTTGCTTTCATCATCGGTTGTCTCACCTCTGTGTCAGTGCAGTGTTGTTGACCCAAACCCAGTTCCTGGTTCTCTGTCTCAGACCAATCCAGTACATCAGGTTCCCCTTCTCCGTCAGAAAGGTCTGGGACAATGATTTGTTTTTACACAGTTTTTATTGGACTATTAGTATCCTTAGTCAATCTTACAGTTATGTATGATTGTCAATCAATCACTGTTGCTTTCCTATCATCATTGTATGGTCACTGTTATACAAAGAGAAACAAGCGGTAGAAAAGAGTGACAGTTGTAGTAGACCCACCTGCACTGTTTTGTTTGTTATGACGGCCAGATCTGCCCCTCTCTTCTTACACTCGTCCCTGCTCTCGTCCCAGTTCAATCTGTCTCTGGAGAGGAAGTAGCAGGAGCTCTCAAAGTGCAGCCAGCCTTTACCACACGTATGGCAGCCAGGGACTGGAGGAAAGGAGGGAAATTACTCTTAAAGTACAACATGTAGTTCAGTTAATAAATGTAGGTTAAATAATGAGTTATTAGCATGGTATAAAGTCTAAGAGAAAACATTGTAGTGGTACAATACATCTCAAAGCATTAGATTGATACATTGACAATATTTAGAGAGATATAGTTTAATAGGCTACATTAGACTAACACACTACAGTAGTGGACTCACCCTGGCTCTGTTGCTGGAAGTATTGTGCTTGGCATGTCTGCAGGCTGCACACCTCAGTGGACTGGAACCGCTCCTCTTTAGCCTCAATCCCTTTTTCATTCACACTCCCCTCCTCTTTAGCCTCAATCCCTTTTTCAGTCCCATGACAGACCAGAGGCTGGGATGGAACTAGAGAATAATGAAGAATGAAAGAAAGCAAGTATAAGAGAATGGTGTCATATTACACATTTGTTTAGTTATTTCTTGCTTAGAAGGCTATCTAACCCAACATGCTGGATATTCTGTTTCTAAATTACTATTCTAGAATAGAATGTCTATGATACTCACATTTGACACAGAGGATGATGATGACGAGCAGTAGAACCAGACAGATGATGGACAGTAGTAAGCACACTGCGCGGTACAGACCCACGTTCCCCAGGACCTGCAGGTCTAGACAAGGAAAGAATAGTCTTAAGGGCCATAACGATAACAACGCTTCCCACAGTTGTGTCAAGTTCGCTGGATGTCCTTTGGGCGCTGGACCATTCTTGATACACACAGGAAAGAGTTGAGCATGAAAAACCCAGCAGCGTTTCAGTTGTAGACACACTCAAACTGGGGCGCCTGGCACCTACCACCATCCCCCGTTCAAAGGCACTTCAATATTTTGTCTTGCCCATTCACCCTCTGAATGGCACACATACAATCCATGTCTCAGTTGTATCAAGGCTTAAAACTCCTTCTGAGCTGACAGCCGTTTTGCACTGTTTTGCTATGGTTTTAGTCATCAATCTAGCAAGAGGGCAATATTTTATCAATGTAGTAGTGCCCCCCCCCCCCCCCCCCCCCCCTAGAAAGCTATGACCTTTGGCTTTCACCTGGAATTGTTTATTTATGTCTGAGAAAAAAACACTTTTCAACCCATATGATCTAGTACACAATACAAGTATAATAAAACATATACAAATATGATAATATGATTTTTTTAAATTGTGAATGAATAAGCCTTTTCATACTTTATAATATGTCCATATATAGTTATAATGTTAAAGGAACATCTACCCAAAATGACATGAGTGATAGTCCAAATCTGTTAGATTTGTGAACGTCTAAATCAACATTTGGGCCATTTAAACCGTGTGCGTCCCTCCTACAGACAAGGGGACAAGGGCTATGTAAAGGGCTCGATTTTGTCATTCTGCGCATATGCAATGTGTCTGCCTCCGACGTAAAATGTTTGACTTCCACACAAAATTACTTCTTTACTTATTTTAGGTTGAAGGAAGTGTGTACGTCACATTCTTTATCGTAGAGCTATGAATGTTATGTATTTAGTTCCGCCGGCTCGAGACAAATTCAGCGATTGCTTTGCCATGTCTGTGCCATGAAGCAGTCACGCTGGATAAATGTTTTTCTAAGGACCGCCCCTTTGACCTAACGTTGCAGTGAAGTGATATAAATTGATGTAATGATGCAGCCGACCACCAGAGGGAGGCAAATACACGTTTATTCGACAGAGGACGTTGACATGGTCCTAGGAAGGTCTGGATGGCTGTCAATAAATTACGTCATGTTAACATATACATATTTTTTAAGTAATTCTAGTGCCCGATTTCGGGGACTGTCAGCTTAAGAGCTTTTAACCTGTCGGAAAATATGGCCTTCTTATACTGATATGCGCTGTTTGTCTTTGATCATCATTCTCCCAAATCCTCCTATATCAGGCACATTTATTGTGCGCTCTTCTCTCCTCTGAGCAGCCTAAACCAGCTAGAACCAAGAACCCTCCAATATAACGTATTTTTGATTGGTTGTCAATGTTTTATCGTCGCTCTGAAAGTGATCCAAACGATAGATGGATGTCGTTATCGTTCTCCACTATTTTTGTAGTTATCGTTGTAGTGTGAATGCTCCTGTTCACTAGAATTATAACTATTTTAATTGTTTGATGTTAAAGTTCGTTATAGGTATCGTTCTTGGTGTGGACGGCCCTTTGTTATATAGCAATCACTACGAGCAACAATGGAAATTCTGCCTACCTTTCTCTTGCTGTTCCTTCACTTCAACCGATAACTTTGCGTTTGCCTCATCTGGTAATTTGGCATTTCCTCCACTTCCTACAATTCGGCAAAATTTGATATACATTGCTGCTGTTCCTGACCCACACTCTGCGACTGTAAAGTACTCTGAAGGCTGAATGCGCAGTGGTTTTTAAAAACCTCCCTCTCCGTCTCTATAGCAACGTGCCCTTTTTAGATTTATAATTAATTCCTGTAACACAATACTCAGTCTGTCCCAAAATCCTTTGGCTGCTGCTGCTACTCTCTGTCTCTCTATCTCTGCGTGTGTGATAGAGACAGAGTTCTGAATAACTGTCTGGAGAGATATCTAGTCCTTGGAGAAATGTCCATTCAGCCCTGCTGTGTTTTTCAACAACAGATTGGGCTTCTGCTTGGAGGTCTGTTATTGTCATGTCTCAACCTTGATTGTGAGACAGACAAACAGGTCCATTCCCGTCAGATGACTTTCATTATGTTACAAGCTAGATAATATTCTCCCCTAAAACTAGACATTTTCACCCCATTATTTCATGTTTCCATGTCAGAAATATAGAAATCCCGTTATATGGACATTTTGGAACATTTACATTCTGTTTTTGTTATAACAACCTCACCTGTTCTGTCTCTGGCAGAGGGCTGGCCAGGAGAAGCTTCAGCAAAAATGTCCTCCAATGGATTATTCAGTTTGGAGTAGACTGTAGATTCAGCTTCCTTGACTGACAGACAGGCAGACACACATATAGGTTAGGTGGAAGCTTAGGACAAAATTAATCTTCTCAGAACACAACAAAAAATAGCATATAGCTTAAGACGTTTTCTTAAAGGATGGAACCTACAGTAAGAGAAATGAAAATATGCTGATGTATTCCGAGGAAAGTGTGCAGATTTACCCCATTATTTCATGTTTCCATGTCAGAAATATAAAAATCTTGTTATATGGACATTTTGGAACATTTACATTCTGTTTTTGTAATAACAACCTCACCTCACCTATAATGTGCCTTACAAGAATTGGCAATTAATGACCTACTCAACAGTCCAGATATGCAGATGCAAACTGCAAGCTGCACACCACACACAACATTAATAGTAGGCTAGACCAAGGAAATGTGTCCGTAATCAAAATTCAGAACTGGGAAAACTATACTTACACTGTAGCGCTGACCGCTATGTTTCTCTCTCTCACACACACTCTTTCAGTCTCTCTATTCCTCTTTTTCCTCTATTCTTCCTCTCTTGCGTATTAAAAGTATAAATAATGTTTATTACTTTAATAGGACATTTTTAGACCTCCGTTTATTTAGGATTAGTTCAGACATATATAATAATAATGTAATAATCTTATAATAATAATAATCTTTGGGGTTTAGGCCAGGTATCTGTAAAGCACTTTGTGACATCTGCTTATGTAAAAATGGATTTATAAAATATATTTAATTGATTACATTTGATTAATAATATAATAACAGTGCTGTAGCCACCTGTGCCTGTTCTGTCTCTGGCAGAGGGATGGCCAGGAGAAGCTTCAGCATAAATGTCCTCCGATGGATTATTCAGTTTGGAGTAGACTGTAGATTCAGCTTCCTCGACTGACAGACAGGCAGACACACATATAGGTTATGTGGAAGCTTAGGACCAAATTAATCTTCTCAGAACATAACACAAAATACCATATAGCTTAAGATGTTTTATTAAAAGGATTGAACCTACAGTAAGAGAAATGAAAATATGCTGATGTATTCTGAGGAAAGTGGTGCACATTTACCCCATTAGCCCCAAGTTTGGTGATGAAGATGTTCTCTTTCTTTACCTGAGGTTTCCAGCATTCTCTGACCCTCGTCCACTTCCACCACTCTTTCCTCCTCTCTGGGGATTTTTTGCATCTCCATGATTCTCGTTTTCTGTCTGGGTCTCTAACTTTCTATTTCCCTGGAAAGCCTATAAGCCTGTTCAGCAAAATCTCCAGAAAGTTACTTGTGTATTAAGTCTCCCACACATAAAACAAATAGATATATTTAAATTCTCTCCCTTAGTCTCTGTAGCTAGTGTCACTTGAATAGAAAATAAACAATGTAGAAAGTGATCCCTCCTGTCATTTACAAGTTACACTTCCTCAATGATTTTCTTTGTCTCACTCACTCTTTTTTTGAGAGAAGTTTCGTCATTCCCACTCACCATTACTGAGTGTCAGCAATTTATTTGAGTTCGGACATTTACGGGAAATAAGATGGACAAAATTAATTGTACGGTATATCCAAATGTAACATCTTAAAACTTCTGCAAAAGACAAATAAATGTCTTACATTCACAACTTTTAAAAATAGAGGATGAGATGGGGACAGTTTGTGATGTGACAATATGTAAATCTAGGATAGGGTTTTTAGGCCCTGGAAAATAATTCACAATCATATAATGAGTGTGATGTCCTTTCAGATCAGTGACCAATGGTCATAAGAGAAAGGAGTTAAGGAAAGGAAGCTATCTAACATCAAGGTACACAAGACCATGATGACATAACAACAACAGCATGTGCACCGTAGAATGGATCAGATACACAAAAGCAAACTCGTCAGGGAGAGTCAGATTGGCACAAAATACCATATAGCCTAAGACGTTTTTTAAAGGATTGAACCTACAGTAAGAGAAATGAAAATATGCTGATGTATTCTGAGGAAAGTGTTGCAAATGTACCCTATTAGCTCAAGTTTGGTAATGAAGATGTTCTCTTTCTTTAACTGAGGTCTCCAGCATTCTCTGACCCTCATCCATTTCCACCACTCTTTCCTCCTCTCCAGGGATTTCTTGCATCTCCATGATTCTCGTTTTCTGTCTGGGTCTCTAACTTTAAAAAGCCTATAAGCCTGTTCAGCAAAATCTCCAGAAAGTCACTTGTGTAGCAAGTCTCCCACACACAAACCAAATATATCTATTTAAATTATCTCCCTTAGTCTCTGTAGCTAGTGTCACTTGAATAGAAAATAAACAATGTACAAAGTGATCCCTCCTGTCATTTACAAGTTATACTTCCTCACTGATTTATCTTTGGCTCACTCACTCTTTTTTATAAGAGACGTTTCATCATTCCCACTCGCCATTACTGAGTGTCAGCAATTTATTTGAGATGGGACATTTAGGGGAAATAAGATTGACAAAATTAATTGTACGGTATATCCAAATGTAACATCTTAGAACTTCTGCAAAAGAAAAATAAATGTCTTACATTCACAACTTTTAAAAATAGAGGATGAGATGGGGACAGTTTGTGATGTGACAATACTTAAATCTGCCCCCTCCCCCTCCCACACACAACCTTGCCTGAATAAAAAGGTTTAAAAAATGACAAACTGCAGAACTAGAAAACCATGCATTTTGGATTTTATTTTCCACAAAAACTCCATGATATTAATTTACAAAAAATAATAATATTTGCATTAAATACAGATGACTGGCTGAGAAAGAAAGATGGAAATCAAGAGCTTTCCCCTTAACACTCTTCTTTCACATCTGAACTCAAATCTCTTTTTCACTCCCACTCTTTCCAATTCCCCCCTTATTTTTCAAATTCAGAATGCCTTACCATGGTTGAGAGGATACTGACACACAATATGATCACCCCAAAAATACTGACAAAACTTATACAAACCCTCCCCACCAACTCTCCTCCCCACAGCCATCTCCTAAACACTTAGAATAATAGTGGTGAAACATTACAAAGAGCTCTCTCCCATATCCTCTCTTCATCTCCTGTCTCTCTCTCTCTCTCTCGCTTTCCTCCTTTTTGTCCCTTCTCAGGCACCGTAGACGCTCTCATTACTGTAGGTCATGTATAGGAACAGGTCCTCTTCATGGTGCTCCTGTGAGGGACCGGGTAGGACAGGGACAGAAATAAGGATTTAAAATGGCCAAAGCAGAACTGTTGATAATAACTGAAGTATGTACATTGATTAAAACATTTTATTTTAATTGTATTTGTTTATAACATAGGCAAAACCCGCTCAGCACAATCTCAATGTAATGGAGTTATGTCATGTCACTGACAGTGAGAGAAACCCTGGCATCTGGCGTTAGGGGGTCATGGGGGTTGGATAAAAGGTTGCGTCGGTGTGAGTGTGTGTTTACCTCATAGACAGCAGAGAGAGGAGAACTGGATGGGGGAAGGGAGTTGTTGACGAAAAAGAAGAGAGCTTCCTCAGGTCTCATAGACACACGCTGTCGGATCAGGAAGCACAGTTGACCCACTGAGAGAGAAAAAGAGAGAGAGCGAGATGGTCAGACAGGGACTTACAGAACAAAACTAACACATTATCTAGACTTTCATTTGAAAAGAAGAGGAAGAGTGGCGCAATAGTGGAGGGAAGGGAGAGAGGGAAGGGAGAGAGGGAAGGGAAGAGGGTGAGAACAAGGTCATGAGTTGGGAGAGAGGAAATCATTGTGAGAAAGAGAGACATCTCATCAGTTTCACCTGTGAGGTCAGAGGGCACGAGGTACTTCTTCTTGTCCAAGTCAGGAGCTCTCGACCTGGCAGCCCTCTCCACGATGATCTGGTTTAGGATGGAACACAGAACTTAGTCAGTAATTACACACTGCACCATCATGTCCCATTCAACTGGAGCCAAGAAACTTAGCATGCAAGGCTAACATCCATGTATTAAACCCTATCTGACCTTAATAACACCTTACTAGCTTCCTTTCCCTTCATCCTATGCCAGGATCACTTACCAGCTGATAAAAGGGATGGATAGGGTTTTTAGGCCCTGGAAATTAATTCACAATCATATAATGAGTGTGATGTCCTTTCAGATTAGTGGCCAATGGTCATAAGAGAAAGGAGTTAAGGAAAGGAAGCCATCTAACACTAGTGGTAGTTATTCTGTTGACACTTACCGGTATCTTGTCGGGATGCTTGGCTCGCACCCTCTCACCCTCTGCCCTCCTCACCTCCAGTGGTACAGAGCGCTGGTACTGACTGTCCATCTACAGAGACACACAGGGACGGGTCAACAGTGGTCAACATGTGATAATACATCATATATGGATGCACTGTAATTATTGTAACATCACTGTATCTGTATATTGTTGTTACATGCAGTTGAGCATATAATAATGCAAGACAAAATATGTTAACTGACGTTCTTCAAACGACTTCTATTCTTATGTGTATAGTCAATTTAAAACTAAAATATAGCCTAACCAGTTCTGGCTGTATGTGAAGCCTGGAGCCACTTATCAGCTGTAAATACCACCCTGTCCTGATATCAAGGTACACAAGACCATGATGACATAACAACAACAGCATGTGCACCGTAGATGGATCAGGTACACAAGACCATGATGACATAACAACAACAGCATGTGCACCGTAGATGGATCAGGTACACAAAAGCAAACTGGTCAGGGAGAGTCAGATTGGCTACTGTATGATGTCTTGCATGGAGCCCCAGGCCGAGGGAGATTGACAGTTCTTTTGTGTTTCTTCCATTTGCGAATAATCGCACCAACTGTTGTCACCTTCTCACCAAGCTGCTTGGCGATGGTCTTGTAGCCCATTCCAGCCTTGTGTAGGTCTACAATCTTGTCCCTGACATCCTTGGAGAGCTCTTTGGTCTTGGCCATGGTGGAGAGTTTGGAATCTGATTGATTGATTGCTTCTGTGGACAGGTGTCTTTTATACAGGTAACAAACTGAGATTAGGAGCACTCCCTTTAAGAGTGTGCTCCTAATCTCAGCTCGTTACCTGTATAAAAGACACCTGGGAGCCAGAAATCTTTCTGATTGAGAGGGGGTCAAATACTTATTTCCCTCATTAAAATGCAAATCAATTTATAACATTTTTGACATGCGTTTTTCTGGATTTGTTGTTGTTATTCTGTCTCTCACTGTTCAAATAAACCTACCATAAAAATTATAGACTGATCATTTGTCAGTGGGCAAACGTACAAAATCAGCAGGGGATCAAATACTTTTTTCCCTCATTGTAAATTATCGACACAGCTTGTTTACAAACATCATGTGATAGCCAAGGTAACGCTAACTAAAATGTATGATCATGATAGCTACAGGTTGAAATTGAATTATGCATAGCCTTGTTTCTATAACAGGCAACTACTGTAGCCTACTGTTGTGGTTTTTCAGACAATGGCAAGGTGGCCACGTCATTATTTACAGTTTTGGGCTAGATCAGCTGAGTAGAAGGAAGTGCTAGCTAGTTTATCTTGCTGGATGAAAAAGGCATTGACATGGCATCCAAAAGAGAGCCAATACCTGCCAACAAATCGATCAAAGCCAATGATCTCATTTTGTAGTTATCGTTGTAGTGTGAACGCTCCTGTTCACTTGAATTAGAACGATTTGAATTGTTTTATGTTATAGTTCGTTATAGGTATCGTTCTTGGTGTGGACGGCCCTGGCTTTGTTATATAGCCTTATCTGGCATCATCAGACATTTTTATAAGCAATCACTAGGAGCAACAATTGAAATCCTGCCTACCTTTCTCTTGCTGTTCCTTCACTTCAACCGATAACTTTGTGTTTGCCTCATCTGGAAATTTGGCATACCCTCCACTTCCTACAATACGGCAAAATGTGATATACATTGCTGCTGTTCCTGACCCACACTCTGCGACTGTAAAGTACTCTGAAGGCTGAATGCGCTGTGGTTGAAAATAAATCCCTCTCCGTCTCTATAACAAGGTTCCCTTTTTAGATTTATAATTAATTACTGTAACACAATACTCAGTCTGTCCCAAAATCATTTTGGCTGCTGCTGCTACTCTCTATCTCTCTATCTCTGCGTGTGTGATAGAGACAGAGTTCTGAATAACTGTCTGGAGAGATATCTAGTCCTTGGGGAGATGTCAATCCAGCCTTGCTGTGTTTTTCAACAACAGATTGGGCTTCTGCTTGGAGGTCTGTTATTGTCATGTCTCAGCCTTGATTGTGAGACAGACAAACAGGTCCATTCCCGTCAGATGACTTTAATTATGTTACAAGCTAGATAATATTCTCCCCTAAAACTAGACATTTTCACCCCATTATTTCATGTTTCCATGTCAGAAGTATAGAAATCCTGTTATATGGACATTTTGGAACATTAACATTCTGTTTTCGCTATAACAACCTCACCTCACCTATAACGTGCCTTACAAGAGTTGGCAATTAATGACCTACTCAACAGTCCAGACATGCAGATGCAAACTGCAAGCTGCACACCACACACAACATTAATAGTAGGCTAGACCAAGGAAATGTGTCCGTAATCAAAATTCGGAACTGGGAAAACTATACTTACACTGTAGCGCTGACCGCTATGTTTCTCTCTCTCACACACACAATCTTTGGGGTTTAGGCCAGGTATCTGTAAAGCACTTTGTAACATCTGCTTATGTAAAAAGGGATTTATAAAATATATTTAATTGATTACATTTGATTAATAATATAATAACAGTGCTGTAGCCACCTGTGCCTGTTCTGTCTCTGGCAGAGGGCTGGCCAGGAGAAGCTTCAGCATAAATGTCCTCCAATGGATTATTCCGTTTGGAGTAGACTGTAGATTCAGCTTCCTCGATTGACAGACAGGCAGACACACATATAGGTTATGTGGAAGCTTTGGACCCAATTAATCTTCTCAGAACATAACACAAAATACCATATAGCCTAAGACGTTTTTTAAAGGATTGAACCTACAGTAAGAGAAATGAAAATATGCTGATGTATTCTGAGGAAAGTGTTGCAAATGTACCCTATTAGCTCAAGTTTGGTAATGAAGATGTTCTCTTTCTTTAACTGAGGTCTCCAGCATTCTCTGACCCTCATCCATTTCCACCACTCTTTCCTCCTCTCCAGGGATTTCTTGCATCTCCATGATTCTCGTTTTCTGTCTGGGTCTCTAACTTTCTATTTCCCTGGAAAGCCTATAAGCCTGTTCAGCAAAATCTCCAGAAAGTTACTTGTGTATTAAGTCTCCCACACATAAAACAAATAGATATATTTAAATTCTCTCCCTTAGTCTCTGTAGCTAGTGTCACTTGAATAGAAAATAAACAATGTAGAAAGTGATCCCTCCTGTCATTTACAAGTTACACTTCCTCAATGATTTTCTTTGTCTCACTCACTCTTTTTTTGAGAGAAGTTTCGTCATTCCCACTCACCATTACTGAGTGTCAGCAATTTATTTGAGTTCGGACATTTACGGGAAATAAGATGGACAAAATTAATTGTACGGTATATCCAAATGTAACATCTTAAAACTTCTGCAAAAGACAAATAAATGTCTTACATTCACAACTTTTAAAAATAGAGGATGAGATGGGGACAGTTTTGTGATGTGACAATATGTAAATCTAGGATAGGGTTTTTAGGCCCTGGAAAATAATTCACAATCATATAATGAGTGTGATGTCCTTTCAGATCAGTGACCAATGGTCATAAGAGAAAGGAGTTAAGGAAAGGAAGCTATCTAACATCAAGGTACACAAGACCATGATGACATAACAACAACAGCATGTGCACCGTAGAATGGATCAGATACACAAAAGCAAAACTCGTCAGGGAGAGTCAGATTGGCACAAAATACCATATAGCCTAAGACGTTTTTTAAAGGATTGAACCTACAGTAAGAGAAATGAAAATATGCTGATGTATTCTGAGGAAAGTGTTGCAAATGTACCCTATTAGCTCAAGTTTGGTAATGAAGATGTTCTCTTTCTTTAACTGAGGTCTCCAGCATTCTCTGACCCTCATCCATTTCCACCACTCTTTCCTCCTCTCCAGGGATTTCTTGCATCTCCATGATTCTCGTTTTCTGTCTGGGTCTCTAACTTTAAAAAGCCTATAAGCCTGTTCAGCAAAATCTCCAGAAAGTCACTTGTGTAGCAAGTCTCCCACACACAAACCAAATATATCTATTTAAATTATCTCCCTTAGTCTCTGTAGCTAGTGTCACTTGAATAGAAAATAAACAATGTACAAAGTGATCCCTCCTGTCATTTACAAGTTATACTTCCTCACTGATTTATCTTTGGCTCACTCACTCTTTTTTATAAGAGACGTTTCATCATTCCCACTCGCCATTACTGAGTGTCAGCAATTTATTTGAGATGGGACATTTAGGGGAAATAAGATTGACAAAATTAATTGTACGGTATATCCAAATGTAACATCTTAGAACTTCTGCAAAAGAAAAATAAATGTCTTACATTCACAACTTTTAAAAATAGAGGATGAGATGGGGACAGTTTGTGATGTGACAATACTTAAATCTGCCCCCTCCCCCTCCCACACACAACCTTGCCTGAATAAAAAGGTTTAAAAAATGACAAACTGCAGAACTAGAAAACCATGCATTTGGATTTTATTTTCCACAAAAACTCCATGATATTAATTTACAAAAAATAATAATATTTGCATTAAATACAGATGACTGGCTGAGAAAGAAAGATGGAAATCAAGAGCTTTCCCCTTAACACTCTTCTTTCACATCTGAACTCAAATCTCTTTTTCACTCCCACTCTTTCCAATTCCCCCCTTATTTTTCAAATTCAGAATGCCTTACCATGGTTGAGAGGATACTGACACACAATATGATCACCCCAAAAATACTGACAAAACTTATACAAACCCTCCCCACCAACTCTCCTCCCCACAGCCATCTCCTAAACACTTAGAATAATAGTGGTGAAACATTACAAAGAGCTCTCTCCCATATCCTCTCTTCATCTCCTGTCTCTCTCTCTCTCTCTCGCTTTCCTCCTTTTTGTCCCTTCTCAGGCACCGTAGACGCTCTCATTACTGTAGGTCATGTATAGGAACAGGTCCTCTTCATGGTGCTCCTGTGAGGGACCCGGGTAGGACAGGGACAGAAATAAGGATTTAAAATGGCCAAAGCAGAACTGTTGATAATAACTGAAGTATGTACATTGATTAAAACATTTATTTTAATTGTATTTGTTTATAACATAGGCAAAACCCGCTCAGCACAATCTCAATGTAATGGAGTTATGTCATGTCACTGACAGTGAGAGAAACCCTGGCATCTGGCGTTAGGGGGTCATGGGGGTTGGATAAAAGGTTTGCGTCGGTTGTGAGTGTGTGTTTTACCTCATAGACAGCAGAGAGAGGAGAACTGGATGGGGGGAAGGGAGTTGTTGACGAAAAAGAAGGAGAGCTTCCTCAGGTCTCATAGACACACGCTGTCGGATCAGAAGCACAGTTGACCCACTGAGAGAGAAAAAGAGAGAGAGCGAGATGGTCAGACAGGGACTTACAGAACAAAACTAACACATTATCTAGACTTTCATTTGAAAAGAAGAGGAAGAGTGGCGCAATAGTGGAGGGAAGGGAGAGAGGGAAGGGAGAGAGGGAAGGGAAGAGGGTGAGAACAAGGTCATGAGTTGGGAGAGAGGAAATCATTGTGAGAAAGAGAGACATCTCATCAGTTTCACCTGTGAGGTCAGAGGGCACGAGGTACTTCTTCTTGTCCAAGTCAGGAGCTCTCGACCTGGCAGCCCTCTCCACGATGATCTGGTTTAGGATGGAACACAGAACTTAGTCAGTAATTACACACTGCACCATCATGTCCCATTCAACTGGAGCCAAGAAACTTAGCATGCAAGGCTAACATCCATGTATTAAACCCTATCTGACCTTAATAAAAACCCCTTACTAGCCCCTTTTTTCCCTTCTTTCCTATCCCGGGAAACCCATTTTCCCAAGCTGATAAAAGGATGGGAAAAAAGGGTTTTTAGGGGGGGGCCTGGAATTAAGGGGCACCTCATATAAGGAGTGTGTTTGCCCCTTTAGTTTTAAGGGGGCCAAAAAGGGTCATAAAAAAAAGGATTTTAAAAGGAAAGGAAGCCACAAAAAAAACCCAGGGGTGGGTTTTTCTTTTGACATTTTAACCGGGTTATCTTGTCGGATGTTTTGGGCCTCGCCCCCTAAAACCCCCGCCCCCCCTCAAACCCCAGGGGTTTAACAGACCCTGGTAGGGGGACTTTTCCATCTAAAAAGAAAAACAAAAGGAAAACCGGGTCAACTTTGGGTAAAACAGGGTGATAATACTCATAAAATTGGATGCACTGAAAATTTTTTGAACATCCCCTTTTTATCTTTAAAATTGTTGTTAAAATGCAGTTGGCATTAAAAAATGCAAGACAAAATATTTTAAACCCCTCGTTTCCTTTAAAAACAAACTTTTTATTCTTATTTGTATATAAATTTTAAAAAAAAATTAAAAAAAAAAAAACCCCAAACCCCAAGTTTTCTGGGCTGAAATGTGAAGCCTGGAGCCACTTTTTTCACTGAAAATACCCCCCCGGGGGCCGAAAAAAAAGGGGGGTACCCCAAGGCCCAAATGTGAAAAATAAAAAACAAAAAAAAAAAGCATGGGGAAAACCGTAGATGGATCGGGTTTCCCAACAAAAACCAATGACATACAAACAAAAAAAAGCATGTGAAAAACCGTAGATGGATCAGGTACAAAAAAGAAAACGGTCGGGAGGGGTCAGATTGGCACGTAAAAATTTGGGTTTGACAACCTAAAAATAAATTTAAATCAGGGGTATTGTTTTTGGGTTAGAGGGGGTCTACAATGTTTAAAAAAAAGGTTTTTTTTTTTTTTTTTTTTTTTTTTTTTTAAACTTTAAAAATTTTTATAGGGGCATATATAATTTATAGTTCCCCTTTTTTTGTAAACTAAATATTGAAATTATATATGAAAATTTTTACAACATGGGGGCCAACATTAGGTGAACAAAAACCTGGCTTCCCTTTCAAAAGGGGTGCTTAAAATTACGATACATCTTTTTTAAATTATACAAAAAAAATCATGTGAAACCCAAAGAAAAGCTAGCAAAAATTTGTATGATCAAAATGCAACTTTTTAAAATTTTTGGTTTTTTCTGAATAGCCCGGGGTTTCTATCAAAAAAAAAAGCCCCCCACTTAGAGCCTACTGTTGTTTTTTTTTTTTTTTCAAAAAGGGCAAGGGGGCCCCACGTCATTATTTCATTTTGGGGTTTGGGTCGGGCTGAGTAGGCTAACGTTTAAAGTTTTGTACTACATTTGCTAGCTTATGTTGCAAGGGGGGGTTTTTGGCTAAACCTTATTGCTGGAAAAAAAACGCCCTTCACATGGCAAAACCAAACGAGAAACAAAAATAGGGCCCAAAAAATGATCAAAACCCAAATTAAAACCCCTTTGGGGAGAAAGGAAGGATTGCTTTTCAACAAGTCGAAGCGAAAGGGAAGGGAACAACAGTCAAAAAACCAAATTTAAACCTTTTTGGGAAAAAAAGGAAAAAAAAACAAATACAAAATGAAAAATTTCCAAAAACCATCTTTCCCACCGACTCTTCACGTAACCAAAAGCAACATATAAGGGGCACGACGAACGTTTTTTTTTTTTCGTTTAATTATATCACAACAAAAAAAGGTTTTAAAAATATTCCCTTTAAAAAGGGCCCAAAAGGTTTTTAAAAATAAACTAGATACTATTTATAGCCCCAAAAACAACAACAAATACGGGAAAGGGCCCCCAAATTTTAGTGATTTAGGGGCCAATGAACGGTTTTTTCGCTGATTTGGACAAAAGTTTTTTTTTAAACCCCCCCCCCCCCCCCACTCGGGCAGGGTTTGGGGGGCGGCGTTTTAATTTTTGTGTACAATTCCCCCCCCATTGGGGTAATGTGCTGTTTTTCCCCACCTCCCCTGACCCCCCGGTTTTTGGGTTGATTTTTAAAAAGTTTTTTGTTTTAGATCAAAACCAAATTAAAAATTTTTTTGTAAAAAAATAAGGGCCAGGGAACCCCTTTTATCGTGCCGGGCGGGTTGCATACGTGCCCCGACGTTGCAAACGAAAGTTCCCCGTAAAAAAAAACACTTTAAGGGCAGGTTGAAAACATATTTGTGTTCCCGGGCCCAATCCAAGTCCGTTGACCAGGGTCTCCCAAATTTAATTTTAAGGCCAAAAAAGGCCTTGATGGTAGGGGCCCAAATTCCCCCTCCCCCTTGATAAATTTTAAAAAAAACAATAAAAAAAAAACAACAATACATTTTTAAAAAAAGGGGGAAAAGGAAAAAATTTCTTCCCTAAATCCTCCAAATTTTTTCCCTTCCGGGTTGTCTCCCTTCCCCCCTTTCCCGCCCATTTTTTTCCTTTCCCCCCTCCCTTTTGCCTACAAAGAAATATTTAATTTTGGGTTTTTATTTTTCCAAAAATTTTTTCAGCCTTGGAAAACATTCCTTTTTTAAAAGAAAAATGGGGCATAAAAAAAACCCCTTCTCCCCCTTTTTTCTCCTACTCTTTTTGTAAATTTTCAAAGGGATTAAATACCCTTGGGGCCCGGCTCTCAAAATTCCCTTGTTCCCCGCCAAAAGCTAAAAGCCATGGGGCCCAAAAGACCCCATTTTTTTTTCTACACAAGAGTCGGGTTCCCGATACCCTTTCCCCCCCGAAATTTTTTTGAAACAAACATTCTAAAAACCCTTCTTAATTTGGGCCCAGAAAAAACCCAATTTGGGGGGGGGAAACCCGAGCACATGTGGGGGAAAGCCCTTTTCTTAAAAAAAGGGTCCCTTTTGGGTTTGATTTCTCGGGGGGGTAAATATTTCCAATCGCTGATTAATTGTTTTTTTGGTTTCAAACACCCCCATTTTTTTTATTGGGCCCCCCCCACAAAAAGACTTCCAAAAAATGGCAGTCTTAGACGAAGTATGTTGCGAACATAGGGGCAGTGGGAATAATTTTTAGGGGTTTTAACGTAAACCAATAAGTACCCACCAAAAAAGGAAAAATTTTATGAAAAAATTTTTTGTTTAAAATAAAACAAATAATTTTCTTTTCCCTTAAAAATTGAAACATTTTGTTTAAAGACAAAATTTTCCCTTTTTTTAAAATAAAAACCCCTATTGGGAAAACAAACCCCCTTTGGGGGGGGTCATACCCCCTTTTCCTTTTAAAGTTTTTAGTCCGATGGGTTTATTTCCAAAACAGGCCCCGTAGCAGTCCATCGACTTTAATTTTAATTTTCCAGGGGTTTTTATTTTTCAAGGCTAAACCCCAAACCTCCCAGGCACCTCCAAAAAAAACCTTTTAAATATTTTCGGTTTGGGACTTCCCCGGTTTGTGTTACAGGTATTCATGGGCGTTCCCCTGGGGCCCCTCTCGAAAGGGGACCCCCTTCCCAAGGCACCCCCCTCTTAAAAAAAAAAACCATTTTTCCCCCCCTTTCCCCCCCTTTTTCCCCCCATTAATCAGGGGGTTTGGCCGGGGGGGGCAAAACCCCCGTTGAAAAAAACTAATTGTTTTAAATCCTTTTTTTCCCAAAACCACAAAGGAAACCCCAAGTTTAAACCCCCTCCATTGATACCATTTTTCGGGGTTCCCCAGTGCAGTCAGGCAAATGGGTTTGGGGGCTATTGCAGCCGTGGCGGGGGTAATTTTTGGGGAGCGTCCAGCGGTTTTCGCTGTCGGACCCTGAGGCCTTTGGGTATTTGGTTTTTCCCAAAGGGGAAATCAGGGGTCCCCTCCCCCCTGTTCTTTTCCGGGCAAACCTGGGCCCCCTCCACCCAACCTGAGGAAAAGACAGAGGTAGAGAAAGCGAGAAAGAAGATTTGAGATAGAGAGGGGGGGGCGAGTTTAGGAAAAAGGGGGGAAAGAGGGGAGAGGAAAAGAGGGGGGATAGAAGGGGGGAAAGTTTTTAAAAAAAAAAAAGCCCAAATAAAAAAGTAAAACATTTTACAGCACACATAAAACCCCCGGGGGTAAAAGGGGTGTTTTTTATTCCCCCAACCCCAAAAAAGGGGGGTGGGTGGGGTTTTTCCTCCTTTAAACCGTCGCTTTCTCTCTGGTGGACCAGAATGACCTCAGCCTTCTCCCGGGAACAGCCCGTCTGGGGTTTTTGGGGAAAGAAGGCCCCGGATGCACTGCCCTTGTGGGGGAAGTCTGTGAGTGAGAAAAGGGGCGAGGTCAAAAAAACAGCAGGGGCATGAGGGCAAATATATCACCAAAAAGTCTGGGCCCCTGAAGGGGTTTTGGGCCAAAATTTCCATTTTTAACCCCCCTTGTGCCCGCAAAATAGTCCAAAAACAGGATGGGGCCTGGAGCAGCTAGATCCAAAGCAATTTGTTTTACCCTCTAAAGATCCAAGAAAACACACTTTTTTTGACACAACCTGTGGTTAAAATTACTCCCCACCCCTTTGTAACACACGAAAACACTCCACACACACACCAAACCCCTCCTGTCTTTTCTGTGGGTTTGGGCTAATAGCAGGGGGTTTCTTGTTGAGGTAGAGGGGGGAACAAGGTTTTTCCCTTTTGAAAAGGGGTGCATTTTTGACCGGCCCACAGTTCTCAGCAAACCCGCTCTGACACTGGGCATGGGGCTATCACTGTGGAAAACCCGCCCCCTCTTTAAAACGGGGGGGAAAAAGGGGAAAGGAATTTGGGGAGGGAAAAGTTAATAAAGCCCAATGAAAAGAGAACATTGAAAAATGTTCAATAAAATATTGATTCAGTCTAAAATTTTTTCCCAAATGCATGGTTTGCTTTGGAAAATTTTTTGTGAAATTGTTTTGTCTGAAAGGGGGGCTCACCTTTGTGCCGCACAGCCCGCGGTAGTTTGAAGAG